GAAGACATTTATAAATAAAGGTACCCCATCCGCTTTTCAGACTGGGCCGATGTGGACCACACACTATGTTTTGGTAAAGCATCACAATAACCAATATTCATTCTAACAACCTTGATCTTAAATGAACAACATATTTAACACAACATATTCATGGAATACTAAATCAACTCAACACTTACAAGTACTACCACTAACACTACCACTAGTACTACCACTAATACTACTACTAATACTACCACTAACACTACCACTAGTACTACCACTAATACTACTACTAATACTACCACTAGTACTACTACTAATACTAACACTACCACTAACACTACCACTAGTACTACCACTAACACCACCACTAGTACTATTACTAGTACTACCACTAACACTACCACTAGTACTACCAGTAATACTACTACTAATACTACCACTAACACTACCACTAGTACTACCACTAATACTACTACTAATACTACCACTAGTACTACTACTAATACTAACACTACCACTAGTACTACCACTAACACCACCACTAGTACTATTACTAATACTACCACTATCACCACCACACTACCACTAGTACTACCACTAGTACTGCCACTACTAATCATAATATACACTACAGTCATCTATACAGTTTGGCTTTGCTGCCGAGTCACACTTTGACCTAACTGCCACGTTGGGATCATGACCGTTGCCTCCACCTTACACTGCTGCTCCAGCACTTTACTGCACCTCTATTAGGATGTGGGCTTCATGAAAGACAGATTCAAACAAATATTAAAGCAGCAAAGGCAAAAACATCCCGAGTGTCTGGTTCAGCTCAAAATTTTAACGGAGCCACCAGTTCCCATAGTGTAGCTCAACAGACTCTCTTTGGGTCACCCCCTCCCCTTATCAGTGCTGAGGAGTACAGCCCCTAGCAGACCGGTTTTGGGGGAATCAGGGGAACGCCACACTGCTATGTGTACATGTGTATAGTGTTTGTACTTTAACTAAACCTGTTTTCTCACATTGCTCTGACAGGTGGAAGGTCTGTCCTGTGCCCTGACACCACTCTGTATTCACTGTACTTCATATTCACTTTATTTTTCCTGCCATATGTCATTTCTTGATTATGTGTAATCACCAGTGAGCATTACAACAGTCCAGTCCGGTGTCTAGTGTTGTCTGTGCTCTGTTTCTGTCGAAGCAGAAGCTTGGAAAGTGCTTAAATTGAAGTTTATTAACAGTGTGCACAACAGTAATATGACAGGAGTCTGTCGATTTGAGCCCACTGTGACATCATAATTTTTATGAGGGGATGTCAGGCCACGAGCAGTATGGATTCCACCCTACACCCTGGACAAGAACAGTTTGAACTCCTCCCCTCTAGATGGCACTACAGGTCACTGTACACCAGAACAACCAGACACTAGGACAGTGTGTTACCCCAGGCTGCCACCCCAATGAGCTTTATTAGTTGTCATAGGTACAAGCTGCATAATTGTATATGTTGTACAAACTGCCAGATGTCACTGGTGGCCTGGGGAGGGTGCTTGTGGAGTTGTTTTCTTTTGCATAAATATGTTTTGTTTTAAAACTGTTTCCCAATATTGGGGTAAATGTTTCTTTTTCCTCTAAACCCTCAATGTCTCCTCCTCCTTCAGCCAAACTGAACATCGCCACAGAGGTAATTGTAGAGAATCTGGGAAAGAACTGGCGTAAAATGGGCCGCAAACTTCATCTGAGTGAGGTCAAGCTGGAATCGATCTCTGCGAGGCATCCCGGAGAACTGGAAGAGATGGTGGTGGAGATGCTGAAACAGTGGAGGAAGAGTCGAGGAGCTGAAGCCAGTGCCAAGGAGCTGATAGGAGCCCTGAGAGCCTGCGATTACAACCTGACAGCTGACAAAGTGGAGGACAGACTGAAAGACTGTGGATACTGATGGAGATTTACATTCTTCATAACACTGAGATTAACTCTGGCAAAGGAAATGAAAGCTGTGATTCACAATAATCAAAGAAACAGAAATGTATATACATTTGAAACTATGCTAAAGTAGATGAATACGCTGACTTCCTGAATGTCATAATACGTGCGCTAGAGAACGTGTGTAAAGAACGGTGTTCCAGTGTGATGAGCTGCTCTTCACGGTCAGCCAGTATTCGTCATGTTGCATGTTTTTATCTGAAGATGAAAACAAGGAAATAAATTCACTTTGATTTATCAGCTACCATGAAACAAAATGGAGGAGGGTGTGTCACCTACTCATCATTCAGTAACATGGAGACAGTGATTTACAGACATGTCAGGAATATCACAAGCTACTTCTCAACACTTTATTACAGAGACTTTCTATGCATGATATTAATTTGCAAATTGTTTCTACATGTTGCACTTTCGTTCATACTTTTGGGTCTAATGTAATCAGTGCCTTTATTAAAAGGAAGATGGTGTTTTAAAGTTTCCTGCTGGGTTTTTCAAGGGGAAGAGGCAGTGGAGGGCCTGGTTTCATACTGCAAACAGTGGTTAGCATCAGTGGACCCCGAGGTGAAGTACATTAGTATGAGATTATTTACTCTCAGGCATTTGGAGTTAGATGAGAAGATCGATACCACTCTCTTAAATAAAAGGCTTCAGTGATGGCAGTAGCAGTGGTTGTTACACTTTAGTTTTTGTATGGATTAAACCCATGGTCAGATTAACACGCTGATCAGTGAGCTTCAGAGGTACTTGTGTGTGAACTGTGTGACCACTGAGCAGAACCAGGCTAGCTGTTTTCCCCTGTTGAGAGACTGGGTCTGCCGGGAAAAGACTGAGCATATTTTCCAAAACATTTCTTTTCTGATCAGAAGCTATCACTGATACTTTATTTTTAATGTGATTATGAAAACAAAAGGAGGATCAAGTGTCTTATTAACATCTCCAGATTTCACAAAGTATTTGGTGCAGTGTCAATGAGGTGGCAATCAGCTTTTAATGCTTTTGAAGTTTGCAGGTTTATTGCTAGAGGACAACTGAAACTGCTTATTTCCTCCGTCTGCATGCTCTGATGTCATCCAGGCAGCAGGTCAAAGGTCACGCACAGTTTCTGCAGAGGAAATGCATGTCGTTAGGGGACTCTTTTGGAAGCTCAGCGCAAAAGTAGATTATGTTGAACACAGGGTTTTGTCAGTCATTAGTTATGTCATGTGACGTACAGACAAAACAATACATATCAGTTGAGCTGTAAATACTCAACTATTTTTATATAATATTATAAAGTTATTATAAAAGATCCAACAAGTGTTACGGCAAGCAAAATCTCTTTCACTATTCATATGGTCACCTGCTTATTGTTTTAAGACATCCTTGAAAAACTGAACCTATCCTTTAAAGCCAGTGCCAGTGTAAAGGGCCACATAGCATTTTTTGGCACAGTTCTGGGTTTCTATCTGCAGTGCATTTAATGTGCTTTCACCAGAGCTTTACTGTGGCTTTGTGTGTGTTCTTGAATGTTTTTAAGCTCATCTTCCATCCAGCTAAACCCCCATATACTTACAGCATTTGTACAGCCTGTTTAGCCTATCAATGTCATTCTTGCTCATCTGGGTGGCCTGGCCAAAGGACACATTGCTGTTGGGAATGGGCATCATAGTGGGAAGGTTGTTCTTGGAGAAGGCATACCTGGAGACGGGACACAGGGCAAGGCAGGGTGAGCTTGGGTTTGATTACCAGAAAAGGAACAGTCCCTGATACCGCTGGTGCCTTTAGTTATTTGGGGTGTAATAGAGTAATGCTTAAAGCACATTCATGTTGGTTACACTGCCACTGATAAACCAGTTCTTGCACAGGGTAACCCAAACAGAGGAAGTACTGAGAGAAAGTACTTATATGCAGTTACAAGGCAGATTACAAGGTTATGAAATTATCCTCACTTCTCATATTGCATGACAGAATTGTAGTCATAAGGAGTTCCCTGGTTCAGAGTGTCGATCTTGTAGAAGTTGTAATCCATTCCTGTGGAGAGAGATGATAGAAAATATAAAATTATAGGCATGTACAGTTTTCGTGAGAAGATGGGCTGAATAGAAGAAAGGAAACAATCAGCAGTTTTTCTGAATGCGAAATGTAAATCATACGGTAAACTGAAAACACAAAGTGCTGTTGTAATGGCCTTCGTGGCCATTCACCCATTTGCCCTCTCAAACGCTCACACATTCACACACCGGTGTCATCACCGAGAGCAACTGGGGGTTCAGTGTCTTGCTCAAGGACACTTCGACATGTTGACTGGACAAGCGGGAATCAAACCGCTAATCCTCTGGTTAGGTAACGATCCGCTCTACCTCCTAAGCCACAGCCGCCCTCGGTACCAAAACAACACAGCATCACTGCGAGGCCCTGCTTTGGCCAACCACATAGATGCAAACACACATTTCTGGTGGATTTCTTTGTAATGTGAATGCTGCATTTCAGCTCTTGACCTTGAGATTCTTTTGACCAAAGATACAGGCTCAGGGGCTCAGGCTCAGATTGGCTGTTATTCATAGGGCTCAATCCCTGTACATCTATAGTATCTTTGCTGAGTAAAATGGCCACTGGACAGTGGCTCTTAAAAACAGAAACTATCAAGAAATAAAAGACCTCCAGCAATCTGTTTTCAAGTGGAGTACTACTGCATACAGCATGTCCATCCGTCAATTATCTATACCACTTTTTCTTGAACAGGGTCACAGGGGGACTGGAGTCAATCCCAGCAGACACTGGGTGAGAGGCGGGGTCGACCCTGGACAGGTTGCCAGTCTGTCACAGGGCTGACATGTAGAGACAGACAACCACACACACTCCTAAGTTGAATGTTTTTGGACTGTGGGAGGAAGCGTATGTGAAAACAAAATCAACTGTGGATAATAATAATGAAGAATGTATGGATAAAAAAAGATGATATCGTTGGTGCTAGTGCATCAGGAGTGGAATGTTAAAGCAGTGGAAGACTCTTTCATTGGAAAACTGCTCCAACTGTCAAGAAGCTTTCAAGACTTGTTTCTTCCATGTGTTTGCCGTGTGTGGCACTACACTGGGTTTCTACTTAGTGTAACATTCAGGACCCTTTTTCCTGTTTTCTGGTCAGTCAGGTTTACCTGGTTTACTTTACTTTAAAGATAAAAAACCACACAAGTCAGGTAATAGATGCTAAAACTGGCTCACCATCCATGATGTTTTCCCAGTACACCTGGATGTGGTTGTCCCTGTCAGAGCGAGTCTGTTCATGGTTGAAGCCGAGAGCGTGGAGCAGCTCATGCTGGACAGTGCTGTGGTACAGGCAGCCCTGATGGCTCAGAGACACAGTCTGACCACCACCCAGGCGACCAACATAGGAGTAGCAGCTGTGGAAACATAAAGTGTTACAATATCAACATGTTGAACTGCAAAGAGACGTGGTGCTCTGGAATCTCTGTAGAATAACAATGTGCCAAGTGTGCATTGGACCCTGCTGCATTCTGTCAGACCTTTCCTATGCACACTTGGATATTTCCCCTTATTCTACTGATTGCTGGCCACTATCTGTAGTTTCTTAAAATGTTATTAAATTTGTCACACACAGCAAATGTCACTAAGTATTTGGTGTAATGTCCCAAGTAAAATAGTCATCTTAACCTGAGCCTTCTTTAGCTACCGAGATGCAAAGTCATCTGTGTTTCAATCATAGGCATATGAAAGAATCGTGAGAGGAAGGACTGAGATGCTTTAAAATTGCATTAAACAACTCATTTTCTAGAGGACATCTTTAAGGCAGGTGTTTTATCACAGGTACGTACAAGGTATGTTGGAGCACAAATATGAAAACACAGAAGTCCCATCCATATGTGTTGTTGCTGTGTGGTGAACCTACAGCCAGAGCCTTACCCATTCCTGGACTCGATACTCAGCCAGTCACGATCACCATTCTGATAGGGTCTGAAACGGATACAGGATACTGAAGAAAAGGACTCCAGTCCACGAGTGATGATGGCCTGCTCTCTGGAGGCTGGCAGCACAAACACAGCAAGGTGAGGGGATCTGTAACACTGGTCCTCTTTCTGACACTGCTGTAATCTCTATGTTGTCTAACTGTGCTGTACAGTACACTGTGGTTATATATTTTCATAAGAACATTTGTACCACAGTATATTATTTTGGATTCCAATAATACATATTCCATTACCAGTTACTGCCTTATGTGTAACATTTAAGTTATTTATTCATGTTTTCTTGCCTTGAGGTCCTTTTAGTTTAGTTAACCTGCTGCTGTTTCATGAAGGACAGATTTGAGTGTGCTGTCTCGTCATGCTGGCGCTGAGTTCAACAAAGTATATACTGTAGATTGCTAAAGGAAATGGAACAACACCACTGTGTAAAACTACTCCATTATAAATAAAATGACTGTACTATATAAGCACAATGTTAGGAGCAAATGTATTATATCAAAACTAAAAGTACTACATGCTGAGAGACTGCTCCTGTGAGTATTTTATTGTATTGTTAATACTGATGTGTTCATGTGTACATAACATTCTACTGCAGTTGGTTTTGCTGGGCTGTTTAATCTACAACAATGCAACAATATTTATAACCTTGTGTTTTGAATGAACTGTAGCATCTTTATTTGTAAAGTAGCTACTGACTGTAGCTGATGATACCTGTGCATCAATAATCATATACTGTGTCATTGTTTCATACAATTAGATTATTTATAAAGGTAATTGTTTTTTATTAGGCACATAGGATGTATGCAGCTTATTAAAGTAATAAGTAACAAAGAAACAGTCTCACATGAATGTACATTTACAGGGAAGAGGCCTGGAACATCCTCTACATTAGCTGGTCTGGCCTGATAAAAAGAAACATAACAGCTAATACTTACAGAAGTGGCTGGCGATGTAGTAAGGGATGTAAACCTTCCCATCACTCCACTTTCCCCACAGGCAGCCGCTGGTGGTGCAGGGGTCAGCGTTTCTGTCGGCCCATGACTTGATAGCAATGTCTCCTCCGATCAGGGTGGGCTCATCAATGTCAGGGGCTGCAAACCAGCACAGGTGTGGAAGTGAGTTTGAAATGCTTAGTGGGTTAGCATGATTTTCCCCACAGTTGACTGGTGAACATTTATTTTTCAGACCATCACATGGCTTGGCCCTTGAGGTTTTACAGGTCAGTGGAGACTGATTGTTTGTGGATTTAATGGTTTTTTTTCTTCTTATCATAGTAGAAAAGTCAAAACATCATAAGACACTAACTCTACTGCGGTGGAAAAAGTACTATCACCACTACATCTCTACGGTGTCATAGTTGAGTCATACTTTAAAGTGTGCTTTTTGGTGTTGCATTCACTGACAGCATGTATTTGCCCTACAGATTAGCTACTACAGTACGACACAGTGTAGGCCAGGTTAAGGTCAAGAGACTAAACAGAACAGTGAAGTAAGGTTGAAAGAAGTTCTGCTCACTGCGGTCTCTGTTGGCTCTCTCCAGCAGTGCGCCAACAGACAGCTCCCTGGATGTGTCCTCCTCAGTGGCAGCAACCTCTGCACAACACATTATATATGATACTGAAAGGAACGCTGCAAATGCAGAGGATTCAACTTGCTCATGTCATCAACTATTCAATAACTCCAAACCAGGTATTAAATCATTCTCACAGTACTGGTCAGTTGGGATGAAAAACTGGATAAAGATGGGTTATAATTTTATTCTTACCTTCCTGTACTCTCCCACGGTGACATGGAAAAAAGAAAAACATGTTACAGAGGCTCACAGTCAGAATTCAGATCTTGTTGCTGTGATGTACTGGATCCTCCAGCTTTGTGGAAGGTTAATTTGCAGATGAAAGTGGTTGAAATGTCTCAAAATGCTTTGGAGCCGAGGATTTGTTTAATAAAAGTAAAGTGTATTCCTATGGAGACATCCATCCATCCATTATCTATACCGTTTATTCCTGAGTCACCAGTCAACCTAAGCTGCATGTCTTTGGACTCTGAGAGGAAGCTGGGAGACCCGGAGAGAACCCACACAGGCACATGGAGAACGTGCACATTGCGCACAGAAAGGCCTCGGGTTGGCCCTTGCTGTGAGGCCACAGTGCTAACCACCGCGTCATTGTGCCACCTTCTATGGAGACCTGACATGTTGAAATATGAAATAATTTGGACAAAACTAACATAATTTAAACCCAACTCACTGTTACCAAATATAAAATTCATAAATCATTTCAGGGCACTTTTTGGTCACTTTTCATCAGTTTTCATGACATCATCACCCATGACTGCATATGTCCTCCATACATTAGGTGTAGCTTTAACCTTAAAAAAGATAAGTCAGATAGAATTTGTACTGTAACTGTTTTTGGAGTTTTTCTTTTTTCATGCTGTCATTTATTATTCATTTTCTGTCAGTAGGCCTTTATATCATGTTGGTGAGATGAGGTAATGAGAATTCTTTACCTCAGCACAGGAAGAGGATGTCAGTAGCAGGGCCACAAGAGACCAAGAAAAAACCAACATACTGTAGCTGCAACAAACCTGTAATAATCATAGAGAAAAGGAGGAAAAAAGCTGAGGAGGGAGAGGAATCAAACATATTTCTTTATCAGAAAATCCCCAAAGTAAAAAAGAAATTAATAAATGTCATCTCTAATTAATGCAGGACACATTACTCTGTTCACAAACTATCAGTGTGAAATGTCAAGTCAGATGAATCACCGCCATAATGTGCATGTAGATGGGATCCTTACCTCAGGGCCTGACTGAGTGTCCTGCTGTCACCCAGTGAGCAATTTTATACTGTTCACCTACTCCAAGGTCTAAAAAACAACATGACATATCAAAAAGCACAAACACAGCCACACACCTTTATCACTGTAAATGGAAACATGGGAGTCCTTGGAACCTGTGTGAAATGTGTTATCTGTCACAGATGTGTGTATCCCAGTGGGTGTGTGCATCAATGCTGCAAGTTCTAAATATCTAACAAAATAATGTGAAAAAAACGGAATAGACAGCCAGACATGTGTGAATGGTGAAAGGTTTACTTTTTGCTGCTATAAATGTAAGATAAGAGGAGCTTCAGTCTTCCCACCACATTCTTAACCTGGCTGCAGGGTTTTTTTCCCGTTCAGCCACAGGAGCATTAGTGAGGTCTAGCACTGATCACACACTCCTGATGGGGCTGAAGTCAGGGCTCGGTGTAGACCCTTTCAGTTCTTCCACATGAAACTGGGGTAACCACGTCTTTACTGTATGGATGCAGGACAAGTCAAAGTTGGAGATGAACTGATGTCCAAATTAGTAGTGTGCTAATATTTCTGTTAACTGAAACTAACGACTCATGAAAAACTGCCCCAGACTAAAAGTGCACATAAGATCAGGTGATATGAAAAAGAGAGATTGCTCTCCCAGCTGCTCTTCAGCTCATGCTGCTTTAACACATTTCCCCCCCAGTCCCTTTTAAGTTTGGTTTAATTTCATCCTTGGGAATTCCACTTTTTCTGCTAATACTAATATGTATCCTTGCAAATATGTAGACACTGCACTTTGAGTGGCTAATCTCTGCAGTGAACTGAACCAAAGGTTTTACAAAGCTTACATTTTTTTTACTTGTTCACTTAGCAACTTCACATAACAGTAAATTTAATTAATCCATCACTTTTTGTATCATTATTATAATAAATGAATGAGCAGAGGTGTCTGGGAGTTGAACTGGGATTATCAGCTGTTGTCTGTCGTGTGGTTGTTTTCAAAATCATGCATTTTGAAGGAGTGAGATATGTTTTCCTTTAAGTACTGGGGTAGTGTGACAAAATGTGACTTCATATTTTATTTTGTCACAGGGGATGAAGCTTGCACTGAGGAAACGTGGATCTTTGCATTTTTTAAATCCTACTGTCATCCTGGTTGTTCTCAGCAACATTCTCACTGTATCCTGACTTAAAAGCTGTGATGGAGGTGACAGAATCTGACTTTGAAACATCTGTCACTGTCTGAGAAAACACACACACACACACACACATACATATCCCTCTGCTGTTATCAGTGTGAGACACGGAACACACAGCGGGAAATGCTCACAGCAACAAAACTGTTCTTAAATGTGGCAAAAGTGAAGAGGGGAGTGTTCACTCCTCCACAGTTAGTGTCTGATAGCAACATATTCTATATCTTAATATAGAGCAAGGTTATTAAAGCTATTATAACACACAAAGTTCTATCAACAATATACAAGTTATTTTCATTGTAGTGGAGGCAAAGAAACCTGAGGCAATGAAATATTTTTGTCACACTTATGATGCCAATGTAGTATTACATTAATATACTGTATATAATAAAATGTTCCAATAAACAGTTACAACGCTCAAATTTAAAATGACAAAACAAGATAAACAGTCATGAACTATGAACAACAAAGTTCCAACACTAAGAGAGGTGCAAATACAACCTCTTTGAAGGTTTTTGGGGGTGAGCCAGTGCCTGAGAGCAGCACAGACATCTGCAGCCTTTCCTCAAACCACTGTTCACTCAATATACATCCCTCCTTGATGGCGGAGTGGGCTGGAGATTTTAATCAGTAGTTCAGGAGCAGGACTACGTCCAAAGATGGGGCTCTTCCTTTCCTCATTACATTTACACCCCCTGTTCAAACAACTCTACCACTTTTTTAAGCCACCCAACCCACTATCATCTCTTTTCTGTCACCTCTCCCTTCTTCCACTATACTTTTATGCAGGGGTCTGCCAGTGCCCGAGAGTGGTGCAGACCCCCAAAGCCTTCCCCCAAAACACTGTCCACAAGATTACACTGTACTCAAAAATTCATTCAGCATACATTCCTCCCTGAGGATGGAGACCCTCCTAGTGAAATAAAACGTTAGCTTAGCTGTGAATAAAAGCTCAATTCCTTCTCCTTACAGAATCTGTGGAAATAGAGAGGACAGGACAGGTTTCTTATATGACACAGAAGGCCTATCATGGTTGTGACAGCGCAAGTTATACATATATGATGGCTAAAACATGTACTTTTAAACATGCAACAACATCTACACTGTGATTTCATGGAGCATGTGACATCCTACTTTGTCGTCGTCCCAGCAGCAGGCTGACAGAATCAGCAGAGCCGGAGCAGAGAACCTGAAAACAGACATACAACATGCGAGACATCACACCAGACATGCAAGACACAAACAGGAATCAGCTGCAGCTTCTTCTCAGAACAAATTCACAGTGTTTGGGTCAAATAACTGGCCACCACATATTCATACACTTTTACATTCTGCTGCAGACATTTCCAGCTGAAACCACCTTCTGTGTGTACGTGTCCAGTGTATCTGTTGAACGTACTATTGTAAAGCCAAATAAGAACAATAATTTTCCACTGCACTCATTTTAAGATAATCACTTTCTGAACAAAATATTAGATTTCAAGAAATAAAATTTTTGCCCAAATCATTCATATATATTTTTTAATACTGAAGCACAGATTATATCTGTACATTTACAATTACCCATTAATATTTAAATCACTATGCTTGAACAAGTGCATAAGTCAGCATTGTAACAGAAATGCAATGCGCCATGCAAATTCAGTGCACTGTTCTACTAGCTACTTCAGTGAAGAAATATTTAGAAGTCCACACATTTTTAAACATCCGGCATTCATCATCAGCCTTTCTCTTTTTTGCTACTCATTTTACTAGCTGCATAGTGCTCGCAGCCGAGGTAGCCATCCTTTCCTGCTCAAATTTCAGAGATGTCAGACTCAAATGCTTTCAGCTGTGCGCCCTGTATTCCTCCATTTCAAAATAAAAGTCACAGAATTAATTTCAGGGAGAAAATGGTTTTTCGAATTTTGTAGGATGTTAACCAAAGATAATCAGCTAATTTTTCATTTGAACTCACAGACCAGAGATTTGTCATCGGGCCACATCTGGCCTGCAGACTGTATATGCCCAGGTCTGCTGTAAATAGGAAGCTGCACTATTTCTCAGAGCATGACAGAGTGAAGGCGACAGGGCCAAGTAACAGTAGTTGGGTAATGAAGCAGGCACAGTTTTATGTAAATGATATTATCTCAATTGATTATACTTCTATGTCACTACTATTTTTATTTGAGATTAAAAAAAAGGTATATCTGTTTTAATAAATATGCTATACAAAAACAGCACCTGATATCAGAGCACTACATTTACATATTGCAGAAAGCTCAGGGCTGTCAAAGTAATTTATTTCACTGCCCAGTTTCCTAAAAGTCCATAATCTACATTAGGTCTGAAATGTTTATTATGAGCAAATTGCATTGAATGACATGCTTGAATAGTAGCTTCCTATAGCTAACAGCAGTTTTACTGTCTGTCTGGGAACAAGTGCACCGTGTACCAACAACCTGCACTTTCTTCCAAAACAGTGACATTTATTAACAGAAGGAAAGCGAGAGTTTGGCTGCAGTGATGTCTTAAAGTGGAATCACTGGTAGTGTCTAAATAAACTTTTATTTGCAGATTGTTGTGAAATTTTTATATTACCAGATAATCATCATCGTCGTCATGATTATGGCTTGCTAAATTACTGAAGATGTTTTTTAAAATTTGTGATTATTGTAATACAGTTCAGTCATTTATAAGAAGTACACTTTAAAAGTGTGCAGTCCAGTACCACCCTTTGTTTAGCATCATGGCTAAAAGCCTTTTCAGCTTGTTCACTGTAGTGTGAATTACAGAAAAGTAAGAATGCAGTACTGAGACCATTTCCAACTAGTTTTTTCATCAGTAGCATGTCACAAGATGAAACCACGCAACATCTATTTAGAAATGCCTTGGTCTAATTTTTGCAATATGATGAAATGTTGTTGCAGCAGACTGGATCACATAAGCTCAACACTGGAAAACTGATGCAGACATCTGGTAAACTGATATAAAACCTGAATGAAACAATGAACTGTCATCATTTAATATTTTAAAGGTTATTTTCAGTATTTATTACATTTACAGTGCCTTGCGAAAGTATTCGGCCCCCTTGAACTTTGCGACCTTTTGCCACATTTCAGGCTTCAAACATAAAGATATAAAACTGTAATTTGTTGTGAAGAATCAACAACAAGTGGGACACAATCATGAAGTGGAACGAAATTTATTGGATATGTCAAACTTTTTTAACAAATAAAAAACTGAAAAATTGGGCATGCAAAATTATTCAGCCCCCTTAAGTTAATACTTTGTAGCGCCACCTTTTGCTGCGATTACAGCTGTAAGTCACTTGGGGTATGTCTCTATCAGTTTTGCACATCGAGAGACGGAAATTTTTGCCCATTCCTCCTTGCAAAACAGCTCGAGCTCAGTGAGGTTGGATAGAGAGCGTTTGTGAACAGCAGTTTTCAGTTCTTTCCACAGATTCTCAATTGGATTCAGGTCTGGACTTTGACTTGGCCATTCTAACACCTGGATATGTTTATTTGTGAACCATTCCATTGTAGATTTTGCTTTATGTTTTGGATCATTGTCTTGTTGGAAGACAAATCTCCGTCCCAGTCTCAGGTCTTTTGCAGACTCCATCAGGTTTCCTTCCAGAATGGTCCTGTATTTGGCTCCATCCATCTTCCCATCAATTTGAACCATCTTCCCTGTCCCTGCTGAAGAAAAGCAGGCCCAAACCATGATGCTACCACCACCATGTTTGACAGTGGGGATGGTGTGTTCAGGGTGATGAGCTGTGTTGCTTTTACGCCAAACATAACGTTTTGCATTGTTGCCAAAAAGTTCAATTTTGGTTTCATCTGACCAGAGCACCTTCTTCCACATGTTTGGTGTGTCTCCCAGGTGGCTTGTGGCAAACTTTAAACGACACTTTTTATGGATATCTTTAAGAAATGGCTTTCTTCTTGCCACTCTTCCATAAAGGCCAGATTTGTGCAGTATACGACTGATTGTTGTCCTATGGACAGAGTCTCCCACCTCAGCTGTAGATCTCTGCAGTTCATCCAGAGTGATCATGGGCCTCTTGGCTGCATCTCTGATCAGTCTTCTCCTTGTATGAGCTGAAAGTTTAGAGGGACGGCCAGGTCTTGGTAGATTTGCAGTGGTCTGATACTCCTTCCATTTCAATATTATCGCTTGCACAGTGCTCCTTGGGATGTTTAAAGCTTGGGAAATCTTTTTGTATCCAAATCCGGCTTTAAACTTCTCCACAACAGTATCTCAGACCTGCCTGGTGTGTTCCTTGTTCTTCATGATGCTCTCTGCGCTTTAAACGGACCTCTGAGACTATCACAGTGCAGGTGCATTTATACGGAGACTTGATTACACACAGGTGGATTCTATTTATCATCATTAGTCATTTAGGTCAACATTGGATCATTCAGAGATCCTCACTGAACTTCTGGAGAGAGTTTGCTGCACTGAAAGTAAAGGGGCTGAATAATTTTGCACGCCCAATTATTCAGTTTTTTATTTGTTAAAAAAGTTTGAAATATCCAATAAATTTCATTCCACTTCATGATTGTGTCCCACTTGTTGTTGATTCTTCACAAAAAATTACAGTTTTATATCTTTATGTTTGAAGCCTGAAATGTGGCAAAAGGTCGCAAAGTTCAAGGGGGCCGAATACTTTCGCAAGGCACTGTATAAAGCACTTGAACACAGCCGAGGCCAACAAAGTGCTTAACATAAGATACAATTCAAAACATCTAAAAACGTGACAACTACAATATTAAAATACCAATAAAATAACATAAAAGAACCAACATAGCAAAATAACAAAATACTATCAACCAAAACTCAGCCCAAACAGAGTCTCATAGCATATCAAACGCCAAAGCATACAAGTGAGTCTTCAAGTAAGTTTTAAAAATAGCCAACGAGGCGGCCTGCCTGATGTAAAGGGGCAGCGCATTCCATAGCTTAGGAGCCACAATGGAAAACGCTCTGTCCCCTCTGAGTTTACGCCTGGCCCACGGTACCTCAAGCAAGAGCTGGTCAGCTGATCTGAGGCACCGAGAGGGACTATAAGGAAATAAAAGCTCAGCAAGATACAATGGAGCAAGACCATTCAAAGACTTAAAAACAAATAAAAGAATCTTAAAATGAATCCTGAAAGACACTGGAAGCCAATGAAGGGATGCCAAAAT